CTAGATTCAAAGCAAATTTGTCAAGCCCTGCTTTAAGGATCCTCCAGAGGATTTCATGTTAGGCATGGGGTCCCTTTCTTCCCTAGAGGAGCAGATTCTTTCAAATGATATTTAGTCAGTTGTCTCACCTAAACAGAAGGAGATGTTTCCTTTCTATTAAAGGCTTCACATTCCACTTTATAATTCAGTTTCCATCATTCCTTCCTCTGTCTGTCTGGGCTCTGTTCTTGTATGTTCCACCAAGGTGTTTCCTCTCTATTTCCTACTCAACGTATGGGTGTCTCACATTAACAAAGCTTTGACCAATCCCTTTGAAGGCTTTCCTTGACTTACTGACAAATTGGAAGCCAATTCTCAATCCATCCTGTAAACCCATTTCCCAAACTTTGGCTGATTAGTCAAAATCCCTAAGTTGGGATCTGGCGGTTGCTAGTGTCACTCAACGTATTGCTTGCATTGACCAGATGACTGTTGCATTGAACCTGATGTGGAATGCGCTGCTTGATGTTAGCCGAGTTACGTCTGTTATGGGTAACTCTTCCGTTCTGATCTGCAGGGCGCTTTGGCTCAAGTGCTGGTTGGCAAGGCAACAGTGTAAGACGGTCTAGTTACGCTTACCCATTATTGGAGATCGTCTTTTCAGTTCAAGTTTTCTCAATCTCAGGGCTTCTAAGCGTCCATGGAAATTTAAGGCACCCAAGCCTGCTGACGAATCTACCACCCAAAGGTCCCCCCCCACCACCACCAGTTCCATCATAGCTGGGCAGAATCCTGATGGTATTTGTGGGGATCAGGGAAGCCTGCGATGGTGACGCTTGGCTGCAGATGGTATCAAAGGGTTACAAAATCTTTTCACCTTTGTCAACTGCCTTGATTCTTCTCTTTGCATCTTCCTGTGTCTCAGCAAACATCAGCCAGTTCACCATGTGGGGGGGAGGAGATGTATTGGGGGCCCTAGAGCTGCAGGTGTTATAGCAGAGACTCAACAAATTGTGTATCTGTTTACTCAGCGCAGGCTATTCTTCTGTATTATGCAAAAACAATTGGGTAATATATTAAATTTGCGTGCTATAATTAATGTTGGTGTATTATATACTGATAGTTTACGCTTGATAAACCAGTGTGCAAACGTGACAAAAACATTGGAGCTACCACCATTTTTTTTATTCTCAAGAGTCTCTGCTTTCAAATATAATATTTTGTTTGGGGGGTTTTAATTAAGCTTCAGGCCTAAAATGATCGTAATACAATACAGGGACAGGACTGGTAGTCATAGACATGGGTTTTATGCCACTACCTTCACAAGCAGTGCTGAGAATGGCCCCAGTTTATAACCCCATTCACTCCTTGCGAGTTTCCTTAGCTGAAGACTTCTATTCCTAAGAACGTTTCTAAATCATCCTTTAATTTTTCATCACTACTTTCAATTGGCACTCCTATCCAACTGCTTATTGCCTGAGGGCTCAGTGGCAGTTTCTGGATCGGTCACCCTTGATGTGCATCTGGAGAACTGTACTTGGACCCTGCAGCAGTGGGGCGGCCTGTAATGTTTGCTTCAGGCAGTGGATCTAGCGTTCGGTACTCACCTTAGAATGTGATGCAACAAGTGTGGTGCTATCTACATCCAGGACCATGGTCCATTCCTATGGCATGCAGACCCTGAAGACTCCTTTTGGGACAATGCCCACTGTGATGGTTGAAGTCTGGTTCACTCCAGGAACCTGCAGCATGGAGAAAGTAAGACGGGGTTTCCCCTGTATTTATGACAGTCCTGTTTTTAAATGTGGCGCATCATTCACTTTAGTGTGTTATCCCCCTCTGTATCAGTCTCTAATACATTGGCGGGAAGTAATGTTTTTACAATGTGTACCTCTTAATATTTGGTGGGTTTTTATCACTCAGCATTGCTGCTTGGGTGGTGGCGTGCCTTTCGCCTGCTGAGAATGCAAGAAGCATGTCGACTGACCCCCTGACTTGTCTGCTTTTCCAGAGACACAGCTACAGGATATCGGTCAGCACCTGGGTTGTAGTGGTTGCTTTCTCAGGCAATCAACTATCCTCTCCGCTTCCTAGTCCGCATTCACTTCTTGAGTACTCTACGGGGGGTCCCATCACTTAGCAATGGTGGAGATAAGGTGCAGAGGCCACTTGTGCTAGGCAGTATGATTTTCAGGCACTGTATGGGCACCCCGAGAACACTGATCCTCATACTGACATAATAACCCCCCTGGCGGTATTCCCGAGTGTAGCTCGGGGTAAAGTTTCAGCACCACAAGTGGTAACCCCAAGCTACACTCGGGAATACACTGCAGCATTGCTCCAGAATCTCTTCTTCTCTTACCTTGTCCTGCGCTCCCGCCATGTTCCCTCCTGCAGTGTCCCCAGCAATGTCCTCCGGCCGATGCCGGCATCTGTCTTCTGGGTTCCGTTCCCTGCGACGTCGGGACATATGGGGGATGGAACCGGCGGGAAATTTAAAAATGTCAAAAAGTGACATTCACTAAATACACTAAAATCACATAGTATAACATTCCTGTATCAACCCATTTCACATACATTTTGTCCCGAGTGCTTTGTCCGGCGCCCTGCCTGCATGTTTACTGTTCTTTCTGCCTGGAAACTGAGAAACGTCCATGGCGTCCAAAAAGCGTCCCTTTAGGTCAGACGCGGTTTTAGACCGGCTAGAGAACAGCGATAGTAAATCAGAACCACTTGCAGAATTGAGTGATAATGATTGGTGGGGGAAATTCCTCATCAGACACTGAAAACGATTCTGCGACTGAGCTCAGCGATGTGCGAACTTGGCGCTCTATTTCACATTTCAGTGTTTTTGGTTTGATTATATTATTTAATTAAATATATTTATTATATTATAATTTATGATTTCGTGTTTCAAGGTTTATCATCCCCGGGATGTTTACTAGACTCTTGTTCGGACAGATTTCAGTGAGTTATTCCTAAAAATTACAGGCCTACAATAAAAAAAAACCCAACATATTTCCATGCAAAAAAATGTACAGATTTGAGCACAGAAATACTGACATAATCAGACCGCTAGGGAGGCTACACCAGAATTTAGTGATCTTCAAAAATTCCTACTAATATAAGCGAGCATATCTCACTATGTTTTTGGGACTTTCTAGTGACGTTGGACCCATCAACATGATCTTCAGCCTCGGTGATGCCAAAGAATGTCCCAAATATCAGTATATCATGCAAAGTGTCCTCATATGTCTGCAGGGCCTTTCTTTTCTCACCCATGTCAAGTCTAAGCAGAGAAACCTGTCTCTGAAGATTTTTTTTTTTTTTTTTTTATCTGGGGAATGGCATACCTAGTGGTAGTTGGTCACATTCAATTGGTTTGAATTGGATTTCTGTAATACTGAAGACAGGGCGGCACAATGGCTTAGTGGTCAGCACATCTGCCGTGCAGTAAATGGGTCATGGGTTCAATTCCCAACCATGGCATCTCCTGCATGGAGTTTGCATGTTCTCCCTGTGCTTGTGTGGGTTTCCTCTGGGTACTCTGGTTTCCTCCAACACTCCAAAGACATGCTGATGATAGGTTAATTGGCTCCTGTATAAATTGTCCTAGTTCATCCCTGGCCATGTGGGATCTCCTGCATGGTCGGGTTGGGGAAAGACCTGGCAACCTACCCTGTAAAATAATTGCTAAGAGAATTCATGGAAAAAGTCACTTACAAGTGATGGTCCATGCAATGGCCAAGGGTCGGATACCACTGAATGGATAGATAGAATGCTAAAGACATTTTGCTGCCGAACAGCTTCTTCAGGTCTTAATGACTGTCAGGAACACATCCCAGCATTTAGATCCACACGGATAACTCATCCACCTTCTGATTGACTTGGAATATTTCAAGGAAGCAGTTGATTGTCCAAGACCAGTATGGAAGGTGTGAAAGTTTGTGAAACCATCTCATTCGATTTCCATAATCCAATCCCACGGGCCGTGACGATTTGGCCGTGTGTTATTAGTTCAGGTTACATGGTTGAAGGTGGGAATTGTTAAAACAGTATTTGGGTGGAAATATGGTGTTGGAGTCCCCTGTCCAATCAACATCTGCCTTAACACATTTCCGGCTCATATACATCAGTGGTGTGCATTACCGCACTCATTTACAGGCTGCGGTTGTGTTGACCTCATCAAAATGAGAGCTGGCAGGCTCTAACGCTGATCCCGGTAGCTTTGATACTTTCCATCTCAGGCCGTGAACATAGCATAGGCTTCATACTGGCTCATATATTGCTGATGCCAGAAATAGTCCCGGCAGCTAACGTTTCCAGTAAGAGGTCATCAACTGTAGTTTTTGTATTTCTCATCATAGGCTTCAGCAAATCTGTCAGCCAATTCGAAAACTAAAAGCCTCGAGATCACGTTACTCACGGTGCCTTCCATTAACCCAGTGGTTCTCAACCTTCCTAATGCCGCAACCCTTTAATACAGTTCCTCATGTTGTGGTGACCCCCATCCATAATAATTCAGGAAGTGTCATTTTACCTCCAATACGGCTGCTTTCAACACAGTAGCTGCTCTTTTTACACGTGTGTGACTGGTCCACATAAGTACATTATTGCACCAACCCTGTTACATACACCTGTATTTGTATTTGGTGTATGTGATGGGGTTGGCGCGATGATATCATCACACCAGGGTACTCGTATGTGGGCGTATCTGCATGTGGGTGGACCCGCCTGGAGACGAATAGAGGAGCGGAGGAGCTGAAAAAATATGTGTTTTCCGATGGTCTTAGGCAACCCCTGTGAAAGGGTCATTCGACCCCCAGGTTGAGAACCACTACATTAACCTACAGTGTGCCTCTCTGATTCAGGTTTACTTTACTGCAGGCTAAACCTTGAATCTATACTTTGCCCGACTGTCCTACGCATGTCTAGGTATTAGTGCTCATGCTCACGTTCTTACAGCAGCTGTTTTTGGCTTTTGACCTTTTTTTTTTTCTACAGCCAGTAAACCCCCCAGCATGTTCTCCTATGTGTCCATCCCCGGCATGTTCTCCTATGTGTCCATCCCCGGCATGTTATCCTATGTGTCCATCCCCGGCATGTTCTCCTATGTGTCCATCCCCGGCATGTTCTCCTATGTGTGGCATGTTATACTATGTGTCCATCCCGGCATGTTCTCCTATGTGTCCATCCCCGGCATGTTCTCCTATGTGTCCATCCCGGCATGTTCTCCTATGTGTCCATCCCCGGCTCTGTTCTCCTGTGTGTCCATCCCCGGCATGTTCTCCTATGTGTCCATCCCCGGCATGTTCTCCTATGTGTCCATCCCCGGCATGTTATACTATGTGTCCATCCCCGGCATGTTCTCCTATGTGTCCATCCCGGCATGTTCTATGTGTCCATATGTTCTCCTATGTCCATCCCGGCATGTTTATACTATGTGTCCATCCCCGGCATGTTCTCCTATGTGTCCATCCTCGGCATGTTCTCCTATGTGTCCATCCCCGGCATGTTCTCCTATGTGTCCATCCCCGGCATGTTCTCCTATGTGTCCATCCCCGGCATGTTCTCCTATGTGTCCATCCCCGGCATGTTCCATCCTATGTGTCCATCCCCGGCATGTTATCCTATGTGTCCATCCCCGGTATGTTCTCCTATGTGTCCATCCCCGGCATGTTCTACTATGTATCCGTACACACAGAGACTGCAATCAACATATTTTTGGCTGGAAGAAAAACCCAGAACTAGTAGGTTTCTAGAGGAGTTTTTTATTTTCCAATGGTTAAAAACAAGACTTAATACTAATAACCACATGCAGGGGCGGACGGACAACTCATGGGGCCCACGGACAATAGGGGATCATGGGGCCCCTGTGTCCTCGCCCACACTCAAACCACACCCAAAAAAGCCTATGAAAGGTACCAGGGGCATCTCATGGGGCCCCCTACTGACCCCCGGCCCTCAGGCAGTGCCAGAGTACCTGAATGGTCAGTCCGCCCCTGACCAAATGATAAGCCTGAAAGAAGCATTAACCACTTCCCATCCGGCCCATGTATATAAACGGCGGGGCGGTGGCAGTGCAGGGGCAGGTTGTCGTTCATAAACGGCGCTGACCATTTTGGACTGTGTGCACGTTGTACAGGACCTCTATGCGAGGGTCCCGATCATATGATCACGGATTGGCCAATCAGTGATCACATGAATAGTAGTAAGCAAGATGTTACTTCCTGACATCATTGCTTATACTAGTGAAATCTGTGAATGATCACTGAGATCACATGGTACAGGGCTATTCACAACAGCCTTGTACCATGTGACAAGCTGTGATCAATCACAGCTCTCACAGTAGTTCTCAATGGCTGCAAGAATGCAGCCAGAGAGGAGAAATTATTGCTTTTACAGCCTTTATGGGTGTAAAAGCAATCGGTGTAAAAAAAAAAATCTTCATCACCCCCCACAAAGTAGTACAGTATCACAATGGTGACCCTGTACTGCTAGGGTGACAGTATGTTAAACAAATAAATAATATTAAAAAAAATAAATAAAAATGTAAAAAATTTTTTTGAAAAAGTATAATTTTTGGTTATACACTAATTTAGGTTATTTCTTTTTACTAAAAAGATAACTGAATAAATTTTGGCCAAGATTTATGATGAAATATTATTTATTTGCAAAATTTTATAAGAAAAATACTTTTCAAATTTTTTGGACTTTTTCATTTATATAGCAAAAAAAATAAAATTCCCAGTGGTGAATAAATACCACCAAAATAAAGCTCTTATCTGTCTCACAAAAATGCTAAAAAAATTCATATGGGTGCGGTGTTGCATGACTGCGCAATTGTCATTCAAAGTGTGACAGCGCTGAAAGCTGAAAATTGGCCTGGGCAGGAAAATTGCTAATACAAAAATGCTAAAACCCACTGAAAAACTTGCGTTTTTAACGTGACTTTACACAGATGTGTGATGGTGGAAGCGGCTTATTAAAAAAGTCAAGTCCTGTGTAACAAAATGAAAGGTAATGGCAAGCAGGAACCTTGTAGATGATGAAGGGGTTCAGTACTTATAGATAGAATTGTGTGAGCTGCCATTGCAGACTTTTTTTTTTTTTTAGGTGCAGGCTCCTGGGCACTTGATCCTTGCAAGCACACAAACGTTCCTTTAAATATATTCCTCAATGGCCACAAACAACTGCATGCACCAAATGCCTCTGCAAACTCAGATATTACCTAATGAAAGTAACACATGTACTGTGCTGCACAGAACCTGAGCCATGGGTGGGATTCAACAAGTACTCCTATAACAGGAGGGGGCAGATACAAGACCAGTCACCCTACAAACTGAATGTATTCTCTCT